GTTGATTTGGAAGCCCGATCATGAAGTAACACCATTGTCCTGACTTGCTTGTAGTGCTGCATTCCACGGCCAGAAAAGTGGCCAGCTTTACTATTACATGACTGTGATGCTGATATTGCTGCTGAGTGGATGTGTGCATCCTTTCCGGGGTTTCGAGTAACATGCCCACAATAGGTACATGGACCCAGGTAAAGAAGGACATTGATTACTCGGGTTGTTGTGGGCGTGGTGTCCGTCATGCAGGACCGGAATCCTCATCGCTGTGGTGACTTCTTGAAGTTGGGCTTTGCTGTTTGGTTTCTTCTTCCAGTGTTTGTGGATTGAGGCTGCGAAGCCAGAAGCCCTCTCCCAAAGACCTTGTTCAAATAGGGCCCCCCTCCCATCTGTGTACTCTGTACATGTGTTTTCCTGTATTGAAACCAGATCTGTAGTTCGTCGCCTCGGTGGCAAACTCTATTGACAGTACTCTATGGTCGACTTGGAGAAGTGCGGTTATCATGTCCGACATATGGCTGGCCGTGCTGCCTTCTTATGATGAGGGAGGTTTGGGTTCTACAGCTTTCGGTTTGGGGGGGCTTGCCACCTGGTTACATCGGTGAGTTTGTGTCGAAACCCTGTAACCCTAAACCCACCCATACGCGAGCCTCCAGCCAAGTGCAGGGAAAGCAGAGGGCGCGCGGCCCTGCCAACCCGAAGCGAGCCTTGGCAAAAGGCATTTAGGTGCCGGGGTTTTCGATTTGGGGTTTAGGGTTTAGGGTTTTCCTGAAAGGGTTTAAGGTAATTCCAGTGTGCAACCACAGGGCCCTTCAAGGGGCTGACAGGGTTTAATGTCGCGTTTAAGCTCAGAGTTTGATCGTTTCTAGGCCGAGTGTACGGGCCTTGAAAGTCTACAAGAGCGTGTATCGGGGAGTGAGCGCAACACTTCGTTTCTCTCCATGTACAGGGTTCTATGAGTTGTGTACGATGCAAATATAGCACCTTCAATTGTAACCCCGAAGCTGGTATAATTAGGGGTCACGACATGCTCGCTTGCAGGGTTCTTAGTTACAGGTAAGCCTGAAACGCAGACTGCCCCCTTCGTAGAGGCAAAATACGATTACTCTTCCTGAGCGTTCCTCATTGCATTTATATATACGAATTTATACTGTAATACCCCCAAACCCTATTCTAGTCATGAAGGCCCGTTCATCACGTTTCTGTGGCATCTCACAATTCGAGTTTTCTGGAATCCATCGCTTTTTTTGGGTCCGCGAAGTCCAAACCGAGGATCAGATCCTGGCTTAGGGTTTACCCATAGGCCCCTAAGTAGTTCCTTTTTATGGTTTATATTTAGAATCCTATAATAAGGTAATCCCAAAAAGGAACTAGTTAGGGGCCTATGGGTACGGTTTAGGATTGGTTGGGTTCTCACTTAAAGCCAAAGCGTGAGCTGAGCCAAGCGACAGTAGTCAACGTACCGGCGTACAGCACAAAGGATGGGCACAAAGGATGGGTCTTGAGTAGCTCTGCTCCCAGGTGCCTTACATAGCGGCTGATTTGGGCAACCCTTATTTTTTTGGGTGTATGTAATCCTACCATGCTTAAATTCTTACTGGGCTGGGGTACTCAGCCCCTAGGTACTCTAGCCTTGGTAGTATAAGGGAAACCCCTGAACCCTTCTATGTCCCCAAGGGTCCCCCTAATCCTAACTCCTAGGTTTAGGGGTTGAGGGTTTGGGAAGTCTTTACCCACAAACTCCATTGTAGTCCTTTTTTTGTGGCTTATAGTAAGAATCCTATAATAAGGTACTCCCAAAAAGGAACTACAATGGAGCTTATGGGTAACCCCAAGCCATCAACGTCCTAAGCCCCTCCTTCGCCCGAGCAAGATGCTGCTCAGGCTTCGTGAATGAGGAGGCCACAATCGTACAGGACGGGATCGTCAGTTCAGGTTTCGGCTGCATGCGGCCCGCTAGATCCTGAACTCCTATAAAGCCTTCTAACCCTGAACGGGAAGCCCCCTCAAGCTCCAAATTCTTTAGAAGGCTGCCGAAGTTGAAGAGGTATCAGGTCCATATAGGGTTCAGGATTCATCGGCTCTGCAGGTTCTGGGGGTGTGGGATTCAGAGCTGTAGAGGTGTTACAGGAAGTTCGGAGGGCGTTCGGGATCCCCAGCCTAAGGGTAGCATGCTGAGCACAGGAGTCCTGCCGTGCACAACCGCGGCTAGTTGAGGTCACAGGAACCCCGAACCCCTAAAGCCTGAAACCCTAAAACCTAAAGCCCTAAACCCTAAAGCCTTAAACCCTAAACCCTTAAACCCTAAACCCTCAAACAACCGCACCCCTAAACCTCCAGACTTCCAGGCGGCCGGGAGTTCTTCCCCAAAGCATGGCCTAGAGCAGCGTCCTTCGGTTCGGTTTGGCTGCAGATGCTGTTGGCTGTTCATTTAGGCTTTCTGGGGTCAGGGTTTAGGGTTTAAGGGTCAGGGTTTAAGGGTCAGGGTTTAGGGTTTAAGGGTCAGGGTTTAGGGGTTTAGGGCATTCAATTCTTGGCATTAGTTTCAGGTAGCTCTGGCCAAAGAGCTTTGTAACTTCAAGATTTAGGGTCTCGGTGGGGAGGGGGCCGAAGCTTCTTGAAGGCAGGAGCGACTTGCAATTATGGGGAGTTCGAGAAATATGAGATCCCAAATTGGTTCATGAGGTCTTATGGGTTCCGCCCTAAACCCGAAACCCACAAGCCCCAAACCGCTAGAGCCCCTAAACCCCTAACCTCTAGAACCCTAAACCCCAAACCCTACCTTAACCTACCAAAACCTATTTGTTGTCGGTTCTTTTCGTAAATCCTAATCTGGGGTTTTATGCACCCCGGGGACAAGTAGGTTCTGGTCGGTTAAGGTATAACTTCCTCCCTGAGATATTGCAGCTCTCAAGTCAACACCTGGACCTGTCCCGGATCCCTGGCCATGCCTTTGCTGCTGGCACTTCTGCCGCTTGACTCAGATTGTTTAAGGGTTAAGGGTTTAGGGTTTAGGGGTTTAGGGTTTCGGGTTTAGGGGACTATCTAGGGTTTAGGGTTTAGAGTTTAGGGGACTATCTGGGGTTTAGGGCCGTTTAGGGCTTAGGGCTTCGAGTTTAGGGGTCATTGACAAGGAGCTGTGTTGCTTTGGGGGCTCTAGGGTGAGGGTGTTGAGCGAAGGTCGGATGTTCGCATAGTCCAGTCTTTACGGAGGAGGCGTTTCCGCGCCAAGAGACTTGGGTTGAGTGTGGCAGCAAGCGGCCTTGATACCATAAATATGGCTTTCTCTTTTTGCTCTCACCATGGATTCATACACACAAGCACATACATGCATGCATGCATGCATGCATGCATGCATGCATACTTGCATATGTACATACATGACTGTGTACATATTTATATATGGTTATTCTTGTTGCTATTATTACTACTCACAGTAATAATAATAATAATAATCATAATGTTGGTAATCTTAATACCAATATTAATACAGCTATTTTTATTGATATGCGCAGCAGTAGTATATTATTAATGTGTCTATGTTGAGTTGTCATTCTTACGGCTACTACTACTACTACTCCTCCTCCTCCTCCTCCTGCTGCTGCTGCTGCTGCTGCTACGTAATTTAGGGCCCGACTAATTCACAATCATACTATGTGTTTGCTTTTTGTTTGAGTTCGATTGCAACAAGGGGCTCCAAAGAAGCTTAAGTGCCGCTGATCGTACAGGCAATTTCTTTTGACATAACGCCGTCAACCGGCGTTGCACAGAGGATTCCAATGCACTTCCTGGCGTTTTGACCATTCTTGAATGCCTTCAACCCTACACTTTGAACTCTAAATCCTAAACATCCTATACCCTAAACCTCAAGCCTTCAACTCTCAAGCCTATACTAAGCAGAGCTCTTGAGTTCTCTCGCCAATTTCGCCGCAGGTTCCCCGCCCTGTCCTTGGCCCAAGGCCAGAATGGCCTGGGGCCCCAGACAGACGGCAATAACAGCAAGAATACTAGCAGTGATAGTTGTTTTCATTGTAGTGATAGCGGTAGTAATAACAAATTAACAATCATGTGTGTATATATATATGTGTTTATAAACACGTACTTATATATACATATATGGACACTATCTACATATTTACTATTGGCAGTTCTCAGGACTTTAAGGGATCAGCAGATTGAGACCTGTAAATAACTTTGTTTGGAACGCATGAACGTTCAAGTACCTTAGTTCTTACGACCTCGAGGTGCCAGTAGAAAGCAAGTTTTGACTCAGAGATGCTAAGAGCATGCACGTGCCTGAAGCCCGGTTGCCCACATCAACTGTTCCTATGTTCCACTGGTTTTGTTCGGACATCAACCTACTCATCAAGCAAAGAGGCCTGTAGGGGATGGGGTTTCAAGATCTATGCAGCCTTCCCTCCTAGGCCCTGAGCTCTTCCCTCCTTACGCCAGAATACCCAGGCCATAGGTTTCATGATGTCCCTACACCCTAAACCCTTATAACCCCTGAACCTAAATCGGACGGAGGCTTGAAAGGTATACGAGTCGGGGTATAGATTTTGAGCTGACATGCCGTGAGGTTTTTGGGAAGCTTAGGCTTCCCAAGGGGTGTCTCTCCGGGCTTGCGACAGTGTATCAGGGATAGCAGGCTCAGCAGATGCAGTTGCAAAGTGCGACACGTAAGTCAAGCAGAAGGCTTTGCCATACATGCCGGGCGGAGGCACTGGTAGATGAGGTAGTCGCCGCACAACGAAAGCCGGAAGATCTCGAGGGGATGTCCCTACCCGGTTCTACTACGTCCCTTAAACACGAAATCCCTGAACAGCCGAGTAGAGAAGCAAACAGCAACTAATCGACATCTAGTGGAGAGGCCTCGTTTAGAAAGTTTAGGCCCTGTGCTCGAACTTGCTCCTGTCCGGGAGGCCGGTCGAAAATAGCTATATCCTAAGCCCTGAACCCTGAAGTGGGAAACCTGCATGCATCTGGAAGGAGACTACCAGAAGTACATGAGCCAGTATGCATCCCAGTACCAGAACTACATGCAGGGCGCATCTGGCAACGGCGGTGATGGCTACCAGAAGTACTACAAGAAGTGCCTGTGGCTATTTTTTGCGTCCCTCAACAACCCCATCGCTGTCGAAGGTCATTGTTCTCTGTTTGCTCGACAGTCACCCTCCCAAAAAGCGAACCAGCCCCGAGTGCGGTGGATCTGCAACCCTAACCCGCGAGACGCTCGCCACCAAGCACATCCTCAGCCCTTGAACCCTGACAGACCAACCTTTTTCTTCGGCGACTTCGTCTAGGAAAGCCCTCACGACCCTTGACGCCGAAGCATCCGAACTCCGGCCCAGGCAAACAAAGACCTGAGCCCAGAAAGCCTTCTGTCGCATTCGCAGCAGCTCTGAAAACCCGAAACCCCAAACCTAATAGCGAGAGTCTTCTGGGATGATGTGTCTTTGGCACACATGCTGTTGAGGGCTTGGCCCCGGTATTTTGGTTTTGAGCACGAAGCCTGGGGCACAAGTTGTCTGAAACTAGTCTAGTGAAGTATTGTCTAGTATAGTATAGATTGGCATAATATAGTCTAGTCTAGTACAGTAGGATATGGTATTGTCTAGTACAGTATAATATGGCATAGTCTAGTATAGTATGGTATGGTATAGTCTAGTATAGTATGGTCTGGTATAGAAAAGTCTAGTATGGTATAGCGTAGTATGGTATGGTATACCGTATACCCTAACCCTCCGCCATATGGGTCAACCCAAGACCCGGGACTAGGCCGATTGAAGCCAACGCCAAGCTGCAGGTACATGGCACAGTATGGCTCTGATTCTGCTGGCGGGTATGACAAGTACATGTCGAAGACGCTGTGCTTTATATCTGCATGCCAGCGGTAGCTTCGGTTCAGGGCCTGTTCCGAGTTTAGGGATGTATCGCGTAACCCGGCCTATTTACACATTTCCCTTTCAATGTCCACATGCCATGTATAAGCTCCTACCCCCCTCTTCAAATGAAGCTCACATGCGATACTACCTACGATCCTAAACCCAGATTATTCATTGTGACCTTTAGCCAGAAATCGCCAACACCGGAACGCTATACTAATACCCGATAAGGCCTTCTCACCAAAGCAAGGTGCTTGGGATTTACAGGCCATGCTGCAACTCTGAGCTTGCGGACGCAGCCAGTGGCGAGCAATGCTGTAAGTAACACTTGCAAGATTGCGCTTTCTCCTGTAATATTGCAGTTACATTTGACCCAGCATATTTGTCATTCCGACGGCACTATGGGCAAGTTGTTGAACTGCGGAGTCAAAGAATTCGAGACAAACGGACTGACTGTTGTGGCCAGCTGTGTCCCCAAGCCCAATGCCCCGAAAACCTGAGCCTCAGCCAAGGTATGCCGGCGACTATGCCAGCAAGTACATGCCGTCTGAGTCTTCTGGTTCGACGGACGAGTCTTCTCGAGACGGAAAGAAGCCAGTAAGCTTCATTGCAGCAGAGGCGGATGGGAAAAACACCCTAACGCTAAATAAACCCTAAACCTTTTAAATTTTGGAGTCCGTGGTTTAGTGCTTTGGGGTTTCGGACTTGACCTTCAATCCGGACCAAAACTGTGGCGGAGAACATGAGTGCCCCGCCGACTATCCCCAAACGCACCAAACCCATAACCCAAAACCCGACAAATCACAGGATCCGCACCAGCAAGAAGTAAAATGTCCCTGCAGGACGCTGACACCTCCCGGCAGTCGAGCAAAGACTCCGCATCTTGGCTTCACGGCTTTTGTGTTTTGGGCCGTGTGTTCGGAGGGGGGTTGCAGGGATTTGAGGTTTCGGATTATGGTGGTTTACAAGGTAATCGTCTACTTGGCTTTGTCGTGAGGTCTGCGGCGCAAGCTTCCGCCCGGGTGTCTGCACCGTGAGCTCGCTACGTTTGTCAGAGTCAATACCTGAGATAAAATATAGAGTCGGAACGTACCTAGTAATGTGGGTTTCCGCCTCAATCAAAGACTGAGCTACAGTACAATTGTCCTTAACCCAAGTATCTTACAATCAGCTACTTGGGATCCCAAGTGTGTGCCATCATGCATGTACCTACATCCACGCACGCAGGAACAAAAAAAAGAGGTCTGTGTGGTACATGCACACAAATGTCAGGTGTCATATGCGGCTCATGCACCTTTCGATGGAGTTGTCGTCAGGTCAGTCTGTGGACTCTTCGGAGCTTGTAGTCATGTGTACCAACATAGAAAACCCTTATAGTTATACATGTCATGAATCACTATGTAAATATAAACATGAATAACATATGTATATATATATATATAGCTTTTTACATGTGCATTTATATGTATACACCTGAAGAAAATAGTGATGGTAAATAAAAGCGCACACACACATATACATATACATATACATATACATACATATATATATATACATACGTATGTGTGTGCACATAAGTATAAACTTACACATATATGTAAGTCTAGGTGTGATTCTACATGCAAATGTGAATGTAAGTATACATATTTCTATACATACATACATACATACGTACGTACGTACGTAGGTACACTCATGCATACATATATATATATATACACACATGCACACACACACACATATATATATATATGATACCCCCTCTTAAACCACACGTATTTAATCAGTTTATACGTAGGAGCCCACCTTCCAACCTGTCTAATCTCTTCGCCCATACTCGGAACCACCCAAAGTTTAAACATCCTTTTCCATGCTGGACAATACTTAGTAGCAAGACCCACGATATTGAATCTTCCCACTCCTGACTGCTATATTCTAAGATTTGGTTGCATGGTTGGAGGTTTCGCAGAAAGCAGTACCTCCGTTACTACTAAAGCCGACCAAACAGAAGCGACAGAAACTAATAGCTGACGACCTCAAGACTCTTCTGCCGAAAAGAAGAGGTGAAGAGGAGTGTTTCTACGTGGGAAAACGGATAGATTGGCATACAGATAGCCACGCTAAACAGAAGCCCTATAGGTTCTGTTAATCAGCTGTAATATGCCCTAATTGTACTATAGTCTTGCCCCTGTCAGACCCTTCTTTGGCTGCATTCCGAGCTAAATGCTTCCCGAAAATTATGTATGCGGCCTTTAGTTTGATGAAGGTTTCGTTGTCACAGCTGAATTGTGAACATGTGCTTTGGAATCTTGCGCGACGCAATGAAATACAGAGCGAACTTGTGTGACCCTAGTTGTTCATTCGTTGACCCATTAAAAATATCGTTCGAATGACACAGCATGTGTTAGAAATGATGAAAGCATTCTGTCTTCTCGAGCCATGAGGTAGTTGATTTTTCTGTGTCGGCTTAACTGTTTCCTTGGTAGTAAGTAACCTCTGAGTATTGAAATTGGTATTGGGCCCATGGTTCTTAACATTTGGCGGGATTCGGGTTGCGCCCGTTCTGCAGCCCATACAGCCCCGCAATTCTGCATTTTTGTGGCCGGAAGCCTTCAGTCCCCTGCAGTCCAAGTTCGCGTGGCTTCTTGCCGCCTGCAGTACTGTGCAGCACCGCCAGTCCCTCCGTGGTATCCAATGTACCAGCGATAATATTGGTATATTAAGCACTTCCGATAGCGCAAATCCGCGTAGCCTTCGTGTTTTGTGAAGTGGGGGTGAACTGCGAATATCACTGGAGTCCTACATTGGTCAGTGAAAACACGGGCCAAATAAAGTCTTCAGTTAGTGAAAGAAATATTTCTATCATTAAAGTACGAAAACATAAATTTTCGACGAACGAAGATTCCCAGTAAGTAGATAAGGTGATTAACGAAAAAGTCAACTTTTTGCCCCAGCCCGGTTGTAGTGTGCTCCAGTTCCTAAAGAGCCTCAGGCACTACACTCCTTGAGTCCCTGGCCCATGGATAGGCACTACAGCAAACTACGCCGCAGTGCGTTCTTCCGGGGCGCAAATTCAGCTGCTGCGGCGTAGTCCTTTTCTATAGGGTCTCCTTTGTCTCCGTTGAGGTGGTGCTAGAAGCATGGCCTTTGCAGACCCCAGCTCCGAGGAGTCCTCCCTGCGTGGTAGCCTCCTGCATGCTGCGTTCTAAGCTGGCTCCTGGTGGCTGCTCGAAGAGACCGGGCTCGTGCGAGCTTCGCGTTGAAAAAGAACCCCGCTGGAGCTCTGCGTTCTGACTAAAACCAGACATAGCGGCCTTTGAACCTGACTGACAAACCCAAAAAATGATGCAGACATGTCCTCTCCGAAATCAAAAAAGATAGAAAAAGATAAACAATACAAATAAATACCAAATAAGAAAATATTTAAGAAATTAAAAAAATAGATAAAAAGAAATATTGCACACTAAAACCTACTTAACTTATCTCCGTTTTAACTCTTCTGTATCTCTGCTTTCCTTTTCTTTCTCACACAAGTCAACCGGCCCGCTGTGCATGGGCGAGGCTGCTCCGTGTGCAGTTAGGACCAGCAGCCCCAAGCATGAATTTGTTTGTCCAGGTCTTGGGCAAGGGCAGGGAATTTAAGGGGAACTCCGCCACAGTAGTGAGCCTTTAGATGCTTGTCTGGAGTAGGGGGGTGCTTTGCAGCAAGAGGGTCGTGGTGAAAGCTTGGATGGCCATCCCAAGCTGGAAGGGCATGAATCGCTAGGTAACGGGGAACTCCATAGAGGTGAACCTTGGCTGAGGGACACGGCCGATCGAGATGCGACATCAGCGCAGATCACATGCGGCAGGTCGTGATGAAAGGCGCGCAAGTGAGGTGCAGCGGATTGGCGCGCCGGCAAGGCGTGTTGCAGCAGGCTGTGGGGGGCCTCACAGCTCCGCTGCAGCAGCTCCTCGAGAAGTTTGGCCCATCACCGGAGCCTGCCCGGCCATGTCGAAGGGAAAAGGCAAGCAGCAGCCGAGCCAACCCAAGGGCGGCAAGGACAAAGGTGAGGGCAAACAGGGCATGTACTCATTCACCATTCCAGAAGTTCCTACCCGTAAAATCTATAGGGTGTCAGAATACTAAACTAAACGTGAAAGCAACAAGTACTAGGCCTGGCAGTAATCAGACTAACTACTTGCTTAAACCTGTTGAATTGGCTAGCGCTTTACATGACGATCATCTCGTCATTATAAATAGAAGGAAAGCCGTGCTTTTTACATGATGATGACCTTATCCTGGCATAAACAGAAAATTGAAGAGGCATGCATCTAGGTAGACCGAATTGGAAATTAAAGAGCCCAACTTTGGCATCGGTAGTGGATTCCTACATGAGTTGGATTGATGAATGGCCAAAATGCGACTAGTTTGTTACGGGACGAATAAAAACGAGGATAAGCAAACACTTTCTAGTGTGATGTTTCCCTAGTATTTCAATTATGGAAGCTGGTTAATCACATGAATGAAGTAGTCCAAGAATCCGTTTACATGAGTGAACCTTTCAAGTGATGCAATGATCTTGAGATGAGTGGGGAAGACGGAGGCGCTGTTTTTGCTAGAATCAAAGTATCAGTATTTCCTGATTGGGTAATGGCAGGTTCCTACATTCGCAAATTTCCATCATTGTCATTGTGTGCGAGAAGCTTCGAAGCGGAATCTGGATTTCATGATGTTTCTGCGATTCGCAAATTCACAGATTCCTAGATTCGCAGATTCCCGGATTCGCAGATTTGCAGATTCACAAGTTGAACAGACCCCAACTGCAAATCTGCAAACGTGCGAATCTGCGGATTCTGCGAGTCTGGGAATGTGCGAATCTGCAATTCTGAGGCATGGGGGGTGCCACATATCTATATTCGCATGTAGACTATCTGTATATCTAAATTCATCCATATCATTTATACATATATGTATACATACATATATATATATAAAGAGAGAGAGAGAGAGAGAGACTCTATAATGTAGACTATATGCATGTAATACATGTATAAATGTCGGGTGAGATTCGTCATGGTGCAACTTCTGCTCATATGTAGATTGTGGAGTCGCTTATGCATGTCTTTCGCAGGCACACCAATCTGAGCATGCAGCTGACAAGAGTGGATTCCAGAAGTACATGGACTACGCCAAACACACTCAGGGTCACGGCTCAGAGGGGGCAGACTACAAGCAGTACATGGACTACTCCAAGTACACTCAAGGGCACGGCTCGCAGGGCTCGGATTACAAGCAGTATATGCAGTCCTACGGCGGGGACTATAGCAAATACACGCAGGGGCACGGCTCGCAGGCGGGCAGTACTAAACGCGTTTGGGGTTGAGAATGTGACTGTTGCGGACAACCTAGACTTGCCGTCTACCAACCCTACACAGCGGGAGCCTTGTTGTGGAAACCTGGAGTTTTTTTCAGAACCTTGTTCGAGCATTCCGAGAGTGTAGAATTTAGATCTTAGTGGAATGGTACATGCAATATATTCGCACGCTAGCCGCAGGCTGTGGCTCCACATGTAGTGAGCATCTGGGTTCTTCAAGTCTTGTGGCGATAAGGGTTGCAGTCATCGGTTTCGGGTTAGGGTTGCGGCAAATCTGTTGGCAGAATATATATGGAACTATGATGTGCGAAGCGGCAAATCTGTTGGCAGAATATATATGGAACTATGATGTGCGAAGAAGCACCTCGAACAGGCCCTATACCCGAAACCCTGAACCCAACATACTACAAGCCTTTGTCATTTTGAATTTTGCTAGGTATGTTACCATCTGTGTATCGAAGGGCATCGGCTTGCTGGTACCATGGGCTCTCGAGTCAAAATACGCCCCGTTGACGTATAGATCACCCCAACATGAGATGTAGACTTGTTTGTTCTAGGTTTTTCCAGCCGTCGTTCCTGCAGAGGGTTGT